GTAAGTCACCTCTTAGATATCTGATATACTTATTTTTTCTTACTTTTTATCTTTCTTTTTCTTTTTTTGCTCTCTCTCCTTTATATTCGATCTTTTCTTTATCGTCTGATATAATAATAATAATAATAATAATAATAATAATAATAATAATAATAATAATGATGATGATGATGATGATGATGTTGATGATGTTGATGATGTTAACCATGATGATAAAAAAGGAGTAATATTATTTTCCCTTAAAGATCCTTAATGGATAATGAACGTCATTATAGTTAATTTTAAGGCGATCACAGTAACGAACGATAAAGAGCAAGAATAAGCACGCAATCGTTTTAAATTTTATTAAATGAGAGAGTGGATAAGAATGTGTGTGTGTGTGTGTGTGTATGTAAGAGAGAGAAAGAGAATTTGCGTTAAGTATCGTTTATCTTTGTGATGATCTCTTCGAAAGGATTAGCTGCATAAAATCCTCTTTTCGACGAGACTACCTACCCTCTCCCATCTCGTACCCTCTTCAACCCCCATATCTTTTCTCTCTCTCTCTCTCTCTCTCTCTCTCTCTCTCTCTCTCTCTTTCTCACTCTCACTTCGCCACCCGTTGCTTCCCTCTTTGACGACATGGCTGTACCTTGTTACACGGTTATCCTAACGTTAGTTGCTTCTCTAACTATAATGTTGCATGTGAAATAGGTATTAAACTCGATCGAAATTTTCCTCGATATTACGGCATTATTCTATTTCTCAAACATGAAACAATATTTTCAACATTTACGACGACGTTGAATTTGTAATATTACGGGAGAAGGGAAGTGGGGTGATGATATTGGTGAAGGAGGAAAAGAAATTGACACAGATAATACATTTATATCGTAAGATACTTTTTCTTTTTTTTCTTTTTTTTTTTGTTTGTTTGTTTTTTTTTTTGTTTGTTTTTTTTTTCCCCACCTTTTCTTTCATCGTCGAACAAAACGAACAAATCGAAATACGAAAATCTATAGAATACGTGACATTTATAAAGTTTTAATTGAAAGACGATTTAATTCAAAATTATCTTTGAATCGATTATATCGAAAGTGAATAAATACTTTCTATGGAGATATTTTATTTCAATGTACGAATAAAATTATTCTTACGAGATAATTCGATAAAGAGAAAAACTAAGAATAATGTGAAGTCCGATGATTGGGTAGGATAATTGATTTTAATATCATTCGAAATGAGAAAGATATTGAAAATTGTATAAAAATTTTTAATTTAGAAAAAAAGACATGGAAAGGTGTAATATTAAATTCTTACGAATCGATTTGTAAATATGATTATCAATATATCTAGATCACAGATATCGTTCGACTTGAAAATAATCTAATCGAAAGAAATAATGATAGATAAATCGCGACGATCAAAAAGAAAAATTGATTTAGAGAATGTGATAGTGGAATAATATTGAAAAAAAAAAAAAAAAAAAGAAAAAAAACCAAAACAAAATAAAGAAAAAAAAAGTATACATCGAAACGTTTCAAATATATAATAAATATAAATGGCGAGTCAAGAAAAAAAAAAAAAAAAAAAAAAGAAAAAAGCGATTAACATTCAAATTCTTATGAAATTTTGAATTAAACAAAATACATTACGACGATAGTAGGATCGATTTGATAAATAGATCCTGTAGATTGAAAATAGATAGTTTCTCAATCAGAATTTATTTTGACGATTGACGTTTGACGGACTGTGCAACCCTCAAACCTCATCCCCTTCAATCCTTCAGCCCCCTGTACGGGAAAAGGTTTTGTTATTTATTACAATTGAATCGGCAGTATGTATAAATGAGAAATGTGCGGGTTCATGTTTTAATATCATACCTCTCTCTCTCTCTCTCTCTCCCTCCCCCCTCTCTCTCTAGAACGGCTATATAGGTTCACAATGCAGAGGCACCCTTACGTCACGGTAAATGCAAACAGTGTTGCGGAACCTTGCGTGAAAAGAGCTCTGACGAAGGCTATTGGAAATCCTTTCACAATGGAATAACGGAGATCCATTTCGCGTGTATAGAAGACACGAACCTATATAACAGAATAGTAAGGTTTTCTTGAAAGATAGAAAAGAAGAAGAGAAGAAGAAGTGGTAGAAGAAGAAGAAGAAGAAGAAGAAGAAGAAGTAGAACTAGAACTAGAAGTAGTAGTAGAAGGGGTTGCCAATAGACTAGTTTTATCGAGATAAAAAAGAGACAGACAGACTGAAAATGTTTTCAAATGTAGTACTTCTTTTTGAACATTTTTGGACATACAAATAGAGAGTACTCATATATATATATATATATATATATATATATATATATATATGAGTATATATATATATATATATTGTGTGTTTCTATATATTAGGTGGATCTCGAAACGTTTTAATTGGGTCTTCAAAATTCTCACTTAATTTTAAACATTTACTATTCTCTTTGTATATGTATATATATATTTTATATATATATATATTTTAGTATACATATTTTTACTTTCAATTTTATATATATATATTTTTTTTTTCTCATTTCTCTCTCTCTTTTTTTCTTTTTTTTTTTTCTCTCTCTCTCTCTCTCTCTTCCGATTATAAAACTCTACGTGATTATTTTCGTAGTATTATCAAGGGATTTGTAATTTTCTAAAAATTATAAATCCCTTTCGAAATAATGATATCGTGAAAGGATACGAATGATTTTCGAAAACACCTTGGAGAATAAATTTTTGATTCAATAAAAAAAAAAAAAAAAAAAAAAAAAAAAAAAAAAAAACCCTTAATTTATTAGAGATTTTTAATTATCAAGGAAGTCGACGAAGCTAAAACATATATTTCGTTTTTATTTATTCGTTAATTTTTTCACGTTTAAAACAAAAATAAAATGCATCGATTTAAAATGAAATCTAATTAGAGATTTGTTTAGGATTAATGGAGGGAGGTCATGTTCTTAGTGATCGAAGATGGTAGCAAAATTCGAGAGTGCGAACGTAGGCTTTGGAAATAAGCGACTGGCGATAATGTCGGTAGGAAGAGAAATGTGCGGGATAAGTAAGGGATGAAGAGTAAGAAGGGGTTGGTGGGATGATGGGTTGGTGATGGGTTGGTGGTGGGTTGGTGGTGGTGGTGGTGGTAGCGGTGGTGGTAGTGGTGGTAGTTGTGGTAAATGGAAACGCTTTCGACGTTCGATGTGAATACGGATCAATGTCGATAATGTCGACTCGGTAGGAATCGTTCGAGTAGATTGCATAAGAGGGTCAGTTATAGTGATAGCGACGATGTGTAAACGCGGCCTAAGAAATAGATATGTATGTATATACGTATATATGTATGTATATGGATCATTATAAGGTGAACTTTGAATATACATTGGCATTATGTTCCTTCGTATTAAACACGGAAATTAATTTCTTACGTTCCTTTGGTTACTTATGGTTGATTACAATCATTATTATATTCTATGTTTATTATATCTATGTTAGGTTACGTTTTAGAAAAGGTCAAAAGAGAGAGAGAGAGAGAGAGAGAGAGAGAGAGAGAGAGAGAGAGAGAGAGAGAGATAGAAGAATTGAGAAGTTCTTGTTGATAATTTGAAAAATCAATTATACATTTCATTTATAAAAATTATTAATACATTTCTATTATATATCATTAGGACAATTTTAGATTTCTTTCTGTTTCTTTTTCTTTTTTCGTTTTTAAAATTGAAGAAAAACAAATATCTTATATTAGCACACGTTCAACAATAGGATTCGAAATAAGGAGATTTCAATGGTCTCGAATGAAGATGTGATTAATTTAAAAAAGAAAAAAAAAAAAAAAGAACAATCATTATAACTTTCGACCGATCGATAATATTTATATACTATTTACGTATAAGAGATATGTATACGTTTTAACATACATGCTTACGTGCATATGTATATATATATATATATATATATATATATATATATATATATATATTTGTTATTTTTTTGTAAATCGACTCATTGAAAATTAATCGTTATATATAATTCAATTCTTCGTTGGAAGGATCGATAGATCATTCAAGGTGTAATTTTCCTTTTTTTCCTTTCCCTTTCTTTTCTTTACTTTTTTTTTCCCTTTTCATTTCTTTTTTTCTCTTCTGCTTCTTATTTCTTTTTTTTCTCTTTTCCTTTTTTTCTTTTTTTTTTTTTTTCTTTTTTTCTTTTTTCTTTTTTTATCACGACGACACGTCAGAGTCGAGGAATCGTAGAATTGTGCAAGAAAAATCGATGAGCGTGTAAACGCGTGACGGTTTAAGTCACCTCGTTGCTGCTTAGCACTGTGTTGTCCATTAATACGTTTGTACGTTCGCATAGGATTCTAACGTTGTAAATGTAGATGTTCTCTCTCTTTCTCTCTCTCTCTCTCTCTCTGTCTCTCTCTCTCTCTCTCTCTCTCTCTTTCTATAACAAATCGAAGCTCACGGAGCAGAGCCGACAGTAGTTAAGCTCGGAGTTTAATCAAACTTTATTAGTCCTCCATTACACGATATAAGAGTAGACCAGAGTAGAACAGAACATAGAGAAAGCAAAACATAGGACAGAACAACAGAGGAAAATGCATCACTGTGGTGACACCTTAAAAAAGAAGGAACGAATGAGAATCGAAGTAACGAATGTTCTTGCTCATTAACGTTCGTTCAAAACAAAAGCAAAAACGTGGATATTATCTATCGATCGATCGATCGATCGATCGATCTAAATGGTATAGATCGCGCTAAAAAAAAGTATCACGGTCAGTTAATCTCTGTCGACTTCTAGCGTTTTCCTCTTTTTCTTTTTTCTCTTCTTTTTTATTTCTTCTTTTTTCTTTTGTTTTTTTTTGTTTTTTTTCTTTTTATTTTCCTTTTCTTTTTCTCTCTTTTTTTTTCTCTGTAGCTCAGAACATGTGTGCATACATACATATATATATATATATATATATATATATATATACACATGTTATTACGGAATAGTATGTAT